CTTCCTACCAGGAATATACCACCCACTCACGTGAGCTACCTGCCCCCACCCCATCTATGAACTGCTCTGCGTGCTGCCCAGGGCACATGTTACGATTTTACTCTATATTGTGGTTTAAATCTGAATGGCCAGCAATAAGTCAAAATTTTAAGTCCTTGATCCCCAACTTAGGACCTTGTTTTGGAGAAACTGGAGCCTTTGGGAGGCAGAGCCTGGCTGGCAGAAATAGGTCGTTAGGGGTGGGCCTGTGCACATTGCACTGTCCTCTGGTTTGAGCCCCTGCCAGACCGTGGCCGTGTGAATAGCCGTCAGCACAGGCTCCTCGAACCCTGAACTGGGCTGCCATCTCACCCTCCCCACTGTGGAGGACAGAAATCTCTCAAACTATGATCCCCAATAAACCTTTCCTTTCTTACATTATGTCTGCCTGGCAGTGTGGTCACAGCAACACCAATCTACCAGTATCTGCACGGGTAACCATCTGTGTTACTCAGACCTTTACGGCAGGAAGCTTGCACTTCTCCCTAACTGTAGAAAGATGGAAAGTGTACCAAATTAGAATGGACATGGAGTAGCCCTGCCCTAGCTCACATAAGCAGAATCAGGGGCCTGGTGAGCAGAGGGTACTCGCTCTTTGCTGGCAGGGCAGCATGAGAAAGCAGGTGTCTGGACACTTGTCTAAGCTCAGGCATCAGACCACAGTGACGAAGGAAGCCTGTGGCGTGTGCTTCAGGGAGCCCTCTTCCCACCTGTCTCGGCACACACCCAGGCAAGCAAGCCCTCCCTGGGGGCTTCTCAGAGCCTGGATTTGCCTAGGAAGTTGGCATACCTCATACCCACAACCCCGCACAGTGGATATTATCCAAGTTTGCTGAAGAAGTGGGGAAGCTGGAAATGAATATCAGTCATTTCCAGCCCATCTTGAGACCAATCCATCACTGGGAGGCTTGCACCCCCACTACTCTGCAGGCAGGAATCCAGGTGGGCAGGGCGAGTCTCCTGGGTCTGACTAGTCTCCACTCCACAGGGAAGTGAGAGATTTCCGGGGAATACCAGAGACATCTGGATGACCCCCCTCTCCCACCAATACCCTAGTTCAGTCACAAGAATCAGCCTAAGCCACATGTCACAGCTATGTCCCATTGACTCCGGATCTTGGTTATTCAGGAGAGGGCTGCAACTGAGCACAGTCCTTTGCTGGCTGAGCCCCTGTTCTGGAATGTCTGAGCTGTCCAGCACGGCCAGTGTGTAAATGTCAAGTAAACATCAAATTCAAGTGCAATCTAACCATTGTCCTGGAACTGTTTGCTTTAGATATAATAGTTAGCAGGAAGAGAAGAAGGAGAGGCAGGGAGAGAATGTCACTCCATAAAGCAAAACACGAACTCGGTGGACCCTTCCTCTGCCGACGTGTTGAGAAGCCTGTGACATAAATACAAAGCTCGCACTCTGTGCTGTGAAACTAAGCGCGTTTCTTAGCTTGTAAAAAAAAAAAAAAAAAAAAGAAAAAGAAAAAGAAAAAGAAAAAGCTGAGATGAGGGAACATTTTCCAGTCAATCACACTGCAGCAAGTCATCCTGTTGAATCTGTGACTCACAGGCGGACAGTGTCAACAGACAGACGAGCAAGCCCAGCGTTATGACTTCACTGGGGGATGAAGCAGAAGCTGGGATGAGACTGGGCCAGCTCTACCCAGGCTCCTAGCTCTGACAGTACATAGCCAGGGAAACACTGAACGCTGGGTAATCACATTCATTGTTCCTGTTGATTTCTTGTCTTTTAGGAAAGAACTCATTTAAATTTGACTTCACCTTTTTCTGCCTTAAACATAGAGGTGGTAGTGGGCCTTCCCCAGGCGACAGCTGATGGAGTGTCTGTGTCTCCTGTGCTCCCTACGTAACATCCAGTCCTTATCCTCACAGCAATGCTAGGAAGTCGAGATGTTTGTAATATTTTATTTTACTTTATTATCGTTGTTGTTATCATTACAATTTTACTTTTTGAGGCAGGGTCTCACGTGGCCCAAGCCAGCCTTGAACTCAATATGTAGCCCAGGGTCACTTTGAAATTCTGATTTTCTTTCCTCTACCTCCTGAGCACTGGGAGTGTACAGGTGTGCACCGCCTATAGCTCATTTATGCCATGCTGGGAATAGAACTCAGGGCCTTGTACATGCTGGGCAAGTACTCTACCAACTAAGCTACAATTCAAAGCCTTTAATTTTATGTTCTAATAAGTGCTAGGAATTGAACCTAGGGCCTCATGTTTCCTAGGTTAGTGGAATATTACTGAATGAGGCCCCCAGCCTTTTGTGTTATTCTACAGGAAAGAATATTGAGTCACCTTATAGACTAGGTGACTTTGCAAGGTCCACCTAATGATTTTAACCTATCTATCTCTTGATTATTCTACTGTATAATCAATCTTGTTTTGCCTTTTGTTTTTTAATGTCGAGTCTCATAGAGCCCAGCTTGGTATCGAACTCTCGATCCTCTCCTTCCTGAGTGCTGGGATCATAAGTGTAGGCTACCAAGCCCAGCTTTCTGTGTGACTTCAGTCTCTCATTTTGCTGACTGACTGTGAGCCAAACACTAGCTTAGGTACTGGGGTTCCCCACATGAATAAGATGTACTTCCTGCCTTCAAGGAGCTCAAGGCCCAGCCAAAATGCCCTTGGAATTTAAGATAGCTGTGCCATGCTTGCATTAGGTTGCTGGAAAACCAGCTCAGATAAAAGAAAAAAAACTAGCACCAGGAGAGCAGCCGTTTATTTGCAGATGTCTCTGGAATGCCTATGGGGAGAGCAAAACCACAAAGAGATAATAGACCAGGGACCAGGGTACAGGGGGCAGAAACCACTGACCTGAAAACAAAGCTCCAGTCCCTCAGCTGCTGGATGTCCTGGGCAGCAGGGAGAAGCTTAATGTTTTCTTTTGTCTCACCACAGAGCTGATACATGCCGGGCTAGGGCCTGACCCGTGAGCCGGAAGGTCTGGGCTCTAGTCTGGACTTGGCTGCTACACATGAGCTTGGGTCAGTCCTCTGATCAGTTGGTACCCTGGAAGAGGGAGATGGAGCAAGTCTAAGGCTCAAGACTGGTGTGGATGAATAGATGAGTTCTTGACCATTGATCTTTTCTTTTTTCTTTTTTGGATTTTCGAGACAGGATTTCTCTGTAGCTTTTCGGTTCCTGTCCTGGAACTAGCTCTTGTAGACCAGGCTGGCCTTGAACTCACGGAGATGCGCCTGCCTCTGCCTCCTGAGTGCTGGGATTAAAGGCGTGCGCCCCTCCCGTCCGGCTTGACCATTGATCTTGCTGGCCCCAGTCAAGGTATTCCCCAGGTAAGAAACGAAAAGAGTGGCCGACCTGCTGGCTCTTAGGACTGCAGCATGCTTTCGCCTCCACTTCCTTCTTTTCCTCTTCCTTTCTCTTCTCCAGGGTCTCACTGTGTAGACTAGGTTGACCCCCTTCTTATTTAGCCTCCCAAGTCCTTGACTTAAAGCCTGTGCCATGCTCTAGATTTTTTGAGACAGGCAAGTCTCAAACTATTTTTAAGGATGACCTTGATCTCTTTGCTTCCATCCCTTGAGTGCTGTGATTACAAACATGTAGAACCATGCCTGGGTTGTGAGCTGCCCGGGGTTGAACCCAGGGTTATATATGTGTGATACGGATGCTGGACCAGCTGAGCTAGACCCTCAGCTTACCTTAACTCTCTTTGCAGCTCTGCTGAAGACCAAGTCAGAAAATATCTTTGAGGTTGATATGATGTCTTGGCCTGCAATCCCAGCACGTGGGAGGCAGAGGCAGGAAAACCACCATGAGTTTGAGGCTCGCCTGTAATAGGGTGAGACCTCACTCTAGAAACAAGACTGTAAGTCAGGACCAAACAAAACTCTATGTGTGATTGGTTGAAAAACCCAGTTGTCTGCCTAGACAAGCCCAGTGCAGAGCGGCTTGGCCTTCATTTTGATTTAACATCACCCATTTCATCTTCCTTTCCGTGGTCTCTGCCTTCTCCAGACTCCGAGAAGCTGCCAGCGTGTCTGACACCTCAGTGACGCCAGTTCTCTCCCCTGGCGGGGCAGTTTCTTTTTGAAAGGACATGGCCGACTCTCTCCTAGAGTATAGTTTGAAGGATTTTATTTTGGCTGTGTCTTGCTTGCCAAACCTTTACCGGGTCCAGAAAGTGAGGGTGCTCCACTTACTGTTCTGAAGTCCCCCCTCCCCCCCGCCTTTTGGCAAAGCTTGCATTACCATTGTAATAAGCCTGAAAAAACAAACAGGAGATTTTGCAGCAGTCTTCATGCCAAGCATCCACCCCCTCAAAGAACTACACAAGAGTCTAAGAGCTAAGAGGCCGAATGCACATGGGTGTCTAAAGCAAATGGACTCCTTCGTTTATGAAGTTGGTTTAGGGAGCACCATCCATGTGTGTGGCCCAGAGCTGGACACCGAGAAGGAATATCAGCTTAAATAAGGATGCGATCCTAACTCACAGGGAGCTGAGAGCAATCGAATAATCTCAAACAAACTGTAATGAAAGAACTGCTAGTTTGGAGGATGCAGTGTTAGACATCTTTCTGTTAGTGTAATTAAATGCAATAACCAAGAAGACAAAAACTGGGTTTCGGCTATGGATTAAGAGGTCTGAGTTCACGCTATTTTGGCCCCGTTTGTCCTTGTGCCTGTTGAGGCAGCATGCCATGGAAGCAGCGACAGGAGAAGCTGCTCACCTCATGAAAGCAAAGAGACAGAGGGAAAAGAGGAAAGGCTAGGCACAACCATCCCTGAAAGATCATGTTCTAATGGCTTTAGATCTCTCTCTCTCTCTCTCTCTCTCTCTCTCTCTCTCTCTCTCTCTCTCTCTCTCTCTCTCTCTCTCTCTCTCTCTCTCTCTCTCTCTCTCTCTCTCTCTCTTTTCCCCCCCAAGATACTCTTGTTCTATAGTCCAGGCTGGCCTCAAAATCACTGTGTAGCTCAGGTTGCCCTCAAGTGTACTATGATACTCCTAGCTCAACCTGCACATACTGAGATTATAGGCTTGAGCCACCACATCTCAAATAGATCAAAGGAACTGGCCGAGCCACGGCACTGAGGTCCCAGCTCTGCGTCTGTGGTTGTCCAGTTGGACTATTTCCTTCTTGCTTCCCATTCATCTGTCCCACGGCCGCTAAAAGCCTGTAGAAGGAACTCTGCAACATGCTGAGAAGTGCAGAGAAGAACACAAATGCTATACTTTGTGTTGTCAAGAAGCGGAGTCGACACCAGGATCTGCAAAAGAGACGTGCTTCGAGCACCTGGCTCATTCCAGGCATGGTGGCTGTCATCAGGAAGATGAAAGACCACACATGCTGGCAAGGATATGGGGAAAGAGGAACTCTTACTCATTGCTGGTAGGAACATAAAGTCGAGCGACCACTGTGGCAATCTGTATGGAGGGGCCTCAAAAATGGAAAATAGAATCATAAGCCCCAACTCTTTATAACTTAAAACTCTTAGGTCGATTTCTCACGGGTACTTGCGTGTTCACATGCAGCAGCTGTTCACTTGGCCAGGAGGTGGGAGCAGCCTAGATGCCCGTCCACGGGTGAGTGAGTATGGAAGTTGTGTGTACCTTACAATAGCAGGAAAATGGATGGAACTGGAAATTATGGTAGGTGAAATAAGGGAGTCTCAAGAGAGACAAGTGTGAATGTTTTCTCTCATAGAGTGAACATAAATCTAATTAGATATAGCAGTGTATGTGTGTATTTACATGAATGTTTGTGGATCATGGAATTCAAAAGAGGATCATGAATGAGGAGGGAAGGAGGGTGTAGATGGGGTGATGGAGTACAGGGAACTGAAGAGCAGACAGGGAGACCAACAGGAGACAGAGGAGACCCGAGGGAAGAGAGGAGTGTGTGTGAGGGTGGAGAGTAGGGGAGGGGATGATGGAGAGCAAAGTGGTAAGGGAAGTAGATGTTGAAGATGCCACGGTGAAACCCAGTGCTTTGTATTCTAACTTAAAATAATAAAAACAAAACAAAACAGCAGGTAAGGGATCTTGCCACCAAGCCTGATGACCACTCAACCTACTGGGCAGAAGGAGACAACTGACTGCCTGCGCTGTTCTCTGATCTTTACAGGTGCAGTAGGCTTAGAGTTGGGCAGAGTGATTCACGTCTGTAATCTTAGTATTTAGGAGGCTAAGGCAGAAGGATTGCCGTGAGTTCAAGGCCAGGCTGGGCTAGAGCATGAGGTTCAGATCAGTCTGGGCCACACATTGAGGCCCTGTCTCAAAACGGGACACCAAAACCAAAGTAACCCACCACACACACACACACACACACACACACCTGTCACCAACAACACAATCACCCACCCACGCAGCCACTACCTCCACCACCACCAGCGTACACACACACTCACCCACCCACCACCACACACATGCGCGCGTGCACACACACACACACACACACACATCTACTCACCCACCACCATGTACCCACCTACCACCACCAACAGTACATGCGCGCGCACACACATACACACACGCACACACACATGCACAGGCTCACAAACCCCTTAATCGCTACTATTGGACTTGTTCTACAGGAGCGGTCATGGACACCTTGTTATTTTATCATGACATGCTGTTAGTGCTTTAAAAGGACTCATGAAGAATGTATTTTCTTTTCCTTTGTAAAGGTAACAATGAAGAAATAGAAAACCAAGCCTTAAAAAAACAAAAATAAAGAGAAAGAAAGGAGGAGGGAAGAAACAGAGCAAATATGAAACAGGGCCGCCATGACTGGCTCCCAGCTTCCTGGCAGCCAGGACAGAAAAGGAACAAATCCTGCCCCGGCAGTCTCATCAGAAGGGAAGAAGCCCATGGTTATTTTGGTCCTTTAAACCCCATGCTCAGTTCTCACCTGGAAGCCCGCATAAGGACATTGATAGACACAATAATTAATGTTTTTGGCAAGCGCTTTACCGCAAATGCCAATTTTTGTCTGCCATTTCTTGTGCAGGCCTTTAATTAAGGTCAAGGGCTTAACACTGAGGCAGACATCGGTGAGGGCTTGGCTAACCTGGTTCTACAACCACCTGCAACACAATGCAGGCTGGGAATAAAGGGCTGCTTAGCCCTACGAGCGAGGTCGAGCCGGAGCTCAGAGGACCACGTGGTTATCCTTGAATCGGAAAGCGAAGCAAGCTCTGACAAAGGAGGCAGCCATTGGGACTCCATGACTGGAAGTCAACATGTCAGAAGTGGGGTTTGTGCACAAGTGCAGGGTCTTGTGAAATGGAAATGCCTGGCCTGTTTGGAGAATGTCAAGTTGTCTGGAGTCGAGAGAAAGATGCTAATAAGACTTCCATTAAATAAGTTGGGTTTGCCACTTGGACATTTTCTGGTTCTTCCAAGACAACTTTTTTGTTGAGTTAAGCGAAAATGAATGAGAATCAGATGGACCACATTTCTCTTGAATACACACGGGCTTAACAATGAAGGGGGAGAAAGAACTTGACAGAATTTGTCCTGGCTTCTGCCAAACCCAAAGTATTTGAAGAATCACACACAGGACGCAGCTCGAACCCAAACACATGCCCAGCTTCTCCAGCTCCTAATTGCAGCTGCAGCCGGTTAATACAATGAATTGTGCCCGTGAAAATGGGGTCTGAATGCAGGGGCCATGTTAAAGGGAATGACTGCTGCAGGCTGGTGAGCTGACCTCACCCTCCAGGAACCAGTTCATTGCCTCGCAGGGAAAGAGAGTGGATCAATGTGAAGTTTTTTAGACTATTGAATCCAGCTCTCTTTAGAGAACAATTAAAGTCTGTTATTTAACTTCATTGTATCGTGTGTGAAAGGGATTCAGCTTCTCTTGTTTCCTACATTGGGTATACAAAGGGGAAGAAATATGCCTTGCCTCAGGGTCTATTCACCCAAATGGGTACCCAGTGGGAGCTGGGGAGGGAAAGAGAGCTAGACTCTGGTGTACTTGTATTCTAATTCTGAACTCATGGCTAGAAGATCATTTTGTTTGAGAACCAGAAGGAACCTGAGATCCAGAGAAGTTAACTGGTTTGTTACTTGACCACAGCTGGCTGTTTTAGAGTAGAAACATAAGTCTAGAGTGTTGATTCTACCTTTGCTTTTCTCTTTTTAAAGGAAGGGTCTCATGTAGCTCAGGCTGGCCTCAAACTAGCTGTGCAGTTCTTCCAATCCTTCGGCCTCTACTTCCCAAGTGCTGGGAGTCCAGGCACACATCACCACCTTGCTTGGTTGATGTGATCCGAGGATGAAACCCCAGGCTCCGTGTGTGCTAGGCAAGTCCTCTACCAACTGCACTGGATCCCCAACCCCACGAGTCCTTCATAGAAAGCACATTTTCCTTTAGCTATATTTAGGAACTAAAAATAAAAGTGAAACATTTCCTTCTAAGTATTTTTAAAGACGTGGTCTCATGATGCCCAGGCTCATCTCTAACTTCCTATGACCTCTTGATCCTCCTGACATCCACCTCCCAAGTGCAATTATAGGTCTCTCTCTCTCTCTCTCTCTCTCTCTCTCTCTCTCTCTCTCTCCTCTCTCTCTCTGTGTGTTCTTTCTGCTCACTCTGCATCCTAGACTTGTTCACAGCTCGTGTATCCTCATGTCTTTGCTTTCTTGGTGCTGGAAGGGCAGTGGTGTGCCTCTCCACCAGCCCTTTGTCTTTATAAACAGACACATGAGTGTTTCGGTGAGTGCTCAGTGGTAACCACAGGCTTGAACACCCTTGAACATCTACTCAGACATGTTCTGAAAGACTGCCATGCAGCCTGTGTGTGTGGCCATGGTGCTTAGACACCCAAAGAGCAGCAGTGGCTGGAATGGAATATGGGAGAGGTGAGGAGCCGTAGAATAGAGGAGAACTTTGCTTAGGAGGATGCACTGGGAGGGCTTTGAACCACAGAAGCTGGTTAGATGCCTAGATCTGTGCTTGGAGAAGGCAAGAGGACTGGGATGGGCAGTTGGAACAGGGTAGTGAGCCTCGAGGTTGGCTTGGGAAAGAGTATGCATTGGTGCACATAGCTGATGGAAAAGTGAGCAAGTGGCACTTTTATCTCAGGGTCTCAGGTTCTGCATGAAAGCTGTTTGTGCTTCATGGTCTTGCCATATCAATGGCTGTGAAAGTCCACTGTCTTAAAATTAAAATCTCCACAACCTCCTCCTCCTCCTTCTCCTCCTCCTCCTTGTCATCGTCGTCGTCGTC